GCCTAATTTGGTGCTCTAAAATGACTGGTCTTTTACAAATTGCTTATCACTCATTATGCTTAACTATCACCAAATCTTCCTGAAACTGATTGCAGGGCTCCAGACTGTGACTAAAGTGGTTGCATTTGCGACTTAAAATTATTAATTTGAGAGTTTGGTGACGTCGCCACTGACGAGTGGCTGTGCACAGTTTTGGTGAGAAAACGACCAGTGCTAACGGTGCACTTGCTAAAAGCAGATCTGGTTGTGGCATTGGTGGTGTTGTGATAATACTGTATACCGTGATAAAGCTTTAGCAATTATTGCAACAGGAAAATCTGATCGCGTCACAAGCCTAGCTCCCACTTTAAGTGAACCTTAGTTCCCAGGACATCTACAGTACAAGATTAATTAAAATGCTGATAAACGACTGAAAACATGAGACCAACACATGTGACTAATGTTAAATAAAAATACTCACTTCTGTGGCACCTAAAGTCAAATAGCAAGTTCTAAGAGTTTGTTTTGCCTTGTTAGTACTGATTGAAACAACGTTTTACCAATGTTGTCACACCCAAACTTCTAGGTTCAAATGCAGTCGAGGGTCTTTACTGCAGGGTGATGGCACAAACTGGGGCGATTGGGGCGACTGGAGTAATACATGAATTAAACATTCATCATGACATTGTTTGTATGATCTATAACCAGTACCGTTTCTAGGCATAAGCAAGCTAGGCGGTCGCCTAGGGCGCCACCAGCAGGAGGGGGCGCTAATGAGCGCACATACTGGCACTACATTTTAGCAGGGTTGTGATAAAGAGTGGCACGACCACCCTGAAATATAATTGCCGCCCCCACTGGATCCCCCACCATCACTGGGCTAGATTACTGTCAATCTGATGATGCCTGTATGCCATTGGATCAGAGCGCTGTCAATTGCTGCCTCTTATTGTTGCATGCAAAGTTTGCATTTGGAGCGCTCAACAATGCCATTAGATCAATGGGTTCTGTCAGTGCTTTGGCAAGGTAAGGCTTTTTTTTTTTTTTTTTTTTTTTTTTTTTTTCCATGCCTGACTAATCAAAGAGATTCTTTGTGAAGAACAGACACTTCCACCCTATTTAAAAATTTTAATTACTTAAACGTATTTGATAAACATTTATTTCATGGCAAGTATACTACAAATATATTTTATGTACTTAATAAAATACCCTGCAGTTGTATTTTTAGTGTTCTAAACTGGTATACGTCTGCTAAAATGAAATGACTAATTTTGTACTTTGCACTTTAATTGTAAAAAAAGTAGTGCTGAAATCCAACTACAGATGTACTGAAGTATATTTGATTGTGCTAAAGTGGCACTATTGCAAGTATACTTCAGGTACACTTTAAATATTTTGCATTTAAAGACTATTATTCAAAGACCATTCAATCCTTATCAAAAGTGATATTAAACCGCGTATTAGACTTCATTTAAGAGTTGTGCACAAGTGAGAAAGCATAGCATGAGAGGAGTCTTTACAATAACTAAAGGGTTTGTTAACCCATTAAATATCAAAATAAAAACTGCACTAAGAATTTTCCGAACGGTCCAGGAAATGCCATTTGAAATGAGTTTATTTTTTATTTTTTTTATGTGTCCATTCAGCTGATTAAAAACATCACAATCCACAACTCTACACCCCACAGCACTCCAGTCCATCAATTAACATCTGGAGAAGACAAAAGCTGAAAGAAATCCATGAAGACAATTAAAATATGAATCCATAACGCTTTCTCCAGTGGAAAGTGGTCTGGTCTGAATCGGGAGATAAATCTGCACAGTTTAAACAGCTCTAAACCAATCTGTGGCTGGATTTTGATGAGTCAACAGGGGAAGAACTTTTTCATTTGAGGAAATGTTAGTATGGATTATGGACTAAAAGTGTGTTGATGGATTTGTTTCAGCTTTTGTCTTCTCCAGATGTTAACTGATGGACTGGAGTGCTGTGGATTATTGTGATGTTTTTATCAGCTGTTTGGACTCATTCTGACGGCACCCATTCACTGCAGCAAGTGATGCAATGCTGCATTAGGTTTATTTTTGGATGAAGTAATCATTTAAAGGAGTCTGCTTTCCAGTATACACTGTAAACCCGAACAGTACTACTAACTGATACAGATTAAGAACACTGCAATTAAAGTCTGTTAAATCGTTAATGCAACTTATAACAATTACATTTTCTGAACGAGGAATTGAGTTTTATTTTTGCGTGGCTCAACAGTTTTGAGTAAACTCTTCTATTTAAATTATTATTTAAGTTTACTGAGTGACGTAAAGTGACGTCCCCTCGTTGCTCTAACCGACGTTCAGAAGAATCCATTCAACATGGCGGATAATCGCAAGCGACCGAGCAAACTTAATGGAACAACTTGTAAGTAAATCAAAACAACTGTGACAATGTCTTATTTGCTTTTTGAGTGTTGTAAGAATATCATGATAAAGGGATGTTTTCATTTTTGGGAAACGCTGTTTTTACACAGCGCTGTAAAGCGCGACATTTCACTAGTGCTTTTGAATGCGCATTTTGAATGCTATTTTAGCGTCACTGCTTATTGTATAATGTTAACGTTAGCAGGCATTTTCAGTAAACCCAGTCCTAACGTACGCTTTGAATGTCGCTGCTGTTAACTGAAATGTTTAGGGCTGCGTTTCTCAAAAGCATCGTGAGCTAATGTTAAGTCGATTGAGACCATTTGGTGGCAAATGTTTCTACGAGCATCTTAGCCAAACAATGCTTTTTCTGGGAAATGCCCTGGTAAATGTGGTTTTATTTGGTCTGTTTTTAAACAACTAGCTGCTAAGAGTATTAATCCAAAATTAGGTTAAAGCTAATACACAGACATTAATTTTGCAATATATTAATTTTACAAAAGCAATCTACAAACTTGTAGTAACCCTTTACAAACTGTCTTTAATTGCAGGCTGAGCTGGATGCTGAATACAAAAGTGAGCCTCAAAACTTAAGGTAACTTTTCTTCAGTTGAAGAGCAAGTTGTGTGATGTGTCCTTGCATAACAGGACACAGACTCAGCTTTCTCTTTTCTACGTTGTTGGTTATACACTTGTGCGTGTTTGTGGTTTTCTAGGTTTGTGCTGAGCTTCACCATATCAGAGAAAGTGGCGCACACCAGCAAGATTTCACTGTGCTTAGTTTCACCATATCAGAAAGTGGCACACGCCAGCAAGATTTCACAGATGTTGCATGACATTCTAAATGTTTGATCTTCAGGTGAGTGCAAATTAACAAACACTAACTACCTCCATCACGGTCTTCATTGTATATAAAATAAAGTTGGCCTGCTTGTTTGTTTGTTTTTTTGTTTACATGATGTCAACATGCTCTCCCAGTGTACGTGT